AAGAAATCGACGTGTAATTTGAAATTAAGAATTAGTGTCAATACTCGAAAAAACTTGAAGCACTCCAAAATGAAACAACCGAGAAGTCGAAAGTCCAGTTTCACTTTTCAACATCTTCGATTCTTACAACCCTCGACGCTCAGTAATATAGACAAAAAATTCTCGAAACCCTAAATCCAGTTTTTGAAGAATCGAACAAACTTAAAAATTCCAATTCTCGACGTTCAATAATTAAAAAAAAAAAGAAAAAGCGTCTCGAAAAACCCAGTTGTTCAATAATTTAAAAAAACGTTCGAACAAACTTAAAAATTTGAACAAATTTAAAAATTCCAATTCTCGACGTTCAATAATTAAAAAAAAAAGAAAAAGCCAGTCGAAAAAGCCTCTCGAAAAACCCACTTGTTCGAATCGAAAAAACTTAAAAATCCCAACTCTCAACGCTCAGGAATTAAAAAAAGAAAAAACCTTGAAAAACCCAATTTTTCGAATTGAACAGCCATAAAAACCCCAACTCTCGACGCTCAGTATTTAAAAAAAAAAAGGGAAATCTCGAAAAATCCAGTTTTTCAAATCGAACAAATTTAAAAAACCCCAACTCTCGACGCTCTGTAATTAGAAGAATTAAAAAAAAATCTCGAAAAATCCAGTTTTTCGAATCGAACGAACTTAAAAACCTCGACTCTTGACGCTCTGTAATTAAAAAAAAAAAAAGAGAACTCTCGAAAAACCCAGTTGTTTGAACATAAAAATCCCAACTCTCGACGTTCAGTAATTAAAAAAAAGGGGGAAAAATCTCGGGAAAACCCATTTGTTCGAATCGAACAAATAAAATAAAATCCTATAAAAATCCTCCAGTGTCTTCTAACACTCGATAACGCCGGTTGAAAGTGAAACAACGACAACGGGCAATAAAGGGCACGTATCAGCTCGGGCCGGAGGCACCGACGTCAGTAGATTCGTCGAGTGGACAGACAAAATGAGGAAAAGCGCGCGTTGTTCAACGCTTGCGGGGAGAGGCCATCGAGTTTCATCCCCTCGGCTGGTCGGACTTGCCAGCCTCGCCATGCAAGAAGGATTTCCTGTCAATAAAACCAGCTCGAATCCTTGGAATCTCTCGAGCAGCAGCAGCAGCAGCAGCAGCTCACCCCGAAGATTTGTTGTTGATGTGACGTTGTGGCTGGACAGATTGTTGTTGCCTGTTGGTGGCTGTCACTCGAGATCCGAAATGAACGAGTCGAGTTTATTGGCGAATCGAATCAGATGTTAGGTTACCAAGTGTTGAGGGGGTGAGTTTAGAAGGGCGAATCGAATCCGGCGCGATTCACCGGAAGTCGGTTAGTGGGTTCAAGGAAGTTGAGAGGAGTTTCCTAGGAACACACACGACGGCGAGTTTTGTAACGAGAATGGTTCTTTTAATGGAGGTCTTCCGTTCGATTGTTTTGGATGTTTAGAGAGATTGTTTTAGAAGGTAAATAGGGAGGAGAGTGAAGGGAGTTCGTTTGTTGTTGATTGAAGAGGTAATGGAATGGCTGTCGCTGTTGGACGTTTTATTAGTAGGATTAATTTCAAGAACGAAAGTCTTCAACGATTTTTCAGCGTTGGTCCATAGATTACCAGAATTTTTGTCAAATTACGCACGTGTGACGTTGGAATCGGTAATATAAAGAAATTTGCTACGATTTCGAATATTACGTTTAATTCGTTCCTTTCTTTTTTTTTAATTTTTGATATATTATAATTGTTATTGTATATCGTTGTGTATATGTTATATATTATAATTGTGGAAATCTTTGATGAATATTTTTATATATCTTGGAAATTTATATTTTTATATATCTTGGAATGCACTGCAATGAAAACCGTCATGATTATATTGGCCGATTTTGAAAATCAAGTCCAAATATATGTGTAGAAGTTACAAAGTATTTCGAAAAAATTAAAAATAGTTTAAAGAGTTAATGAACGATCTCTTGTGCATTAACAAGAATTGTACGTTTAGACTGGTTGTTTGAGTTGAACACTGATCTTTTGCTAAATACACAATTCGCGATAAATATTTCGTAAACATTAACTTCCGTATAAATTTTCGACTTTGACAGTAGAAATGTTTTAATCTCCGTCCTGCATTTTCAGAATTTTACGATTCTAAAAAAAAATCTCGCAGCTTTTACACGCGTTTTTTTTTTTTTTTCAGGCTCGTTTCAAAATTTCACAATGAAAATCTTGCAGCTTTCATGTCCACTTTCGGATTCGTTTCAAATTTCACGATTAAAAGTGATCTCGTGACTTGTTTCATACGTTTTCGAATTGTCACGGCGCGTCGTCATACATTTTGCTCATTACAACGTTTAGCAAAACGTTTTAGCAGAAGTTTCGCGCGATATATGTGAGAATTTTTCTATGGCGAATGTTCAAATATTTTCCCTCCGAGCCGCTGCGAGTTTAATCGAGATTTTAATTAAATGCCTCGTACGAATCTTTCAAAATAAACACTGCAATTTCGAATAACATGTAACCGTGGCTGATTACTACGAATAACGAAGTTGCAATATTAAAGATTCCCAATATTCTTTCTTTTTCTCCTTTTATTTAATTTATATTAATCATCGAACTCTACTTCTCATCGAGTTTACTCAACGTTATAGTTGTCTCTCATTACGTTACACTTTAATTGTAACGATCTTTCTATTTATTTTAGACCGCGTGTCGTCGCTTAAGTCACCATTTCTATTATTCTCGTTCGAATCAATCATTTCAGGAAACGTTTCAACAAAAGTTGAAACGATCTTTCAGTTCTCACGAGCTGAGGGAAGTAAAATACAGGGATAGAACTCGCGTGGTCCAATTAGTCCAAGAAAGCGAATCGAAACGGAACGAAGGAAATGAAGAAAGAAACTTCTCGAAACCTTTCTCCATCTTGCGAAACTCTTTTGCTTTTTCACTCCGGGCAGCGAAAATTCCCCGAGTGGCGGGATTTATTATTCTCGGGTGGATGTCAGGTGGCTGCGCGCAAGAAACTACCCCCGAATTACGTCCACGCGGAAATCAGCGCGAACCTTCCGTGTCTCGTGTTCTGTCTATCTTCTCCAGCCCTCGTCTTCGAAAGAAGCTTTCCAGAGTTTTTTATTCTCTTCCTTTTTATCCACTCTCTTTCTCTCTTTTGAGAGGAGAATATTTCCACGCCGCTTTGTAGCTGGCAAGCCGACAAAAGTTCACGCACGGCCATTAAAAAGGTGTCTGGCTGCAGTGAAAAATCTGGGGCCTGGACTTTTCACACCACCTCCGGAATAATTGACGCGCGAAGAATATCCCTCTTTGTGGAAGAAGGTCGCTTTGCCTTTCCCTTTTCTTCGTCTTGGAAACGGCGGGTGTTCATGCTCCAAGTGGAACGACTCGAGCAATTTGTCGCCGCGCGAAAGTTTGAAGTTCGTTTCATTTCGTTTCGTTGTTTCCGACTAGGGATTGTCGGCGAAAGGGCGAAAATTTGACTCGAAATTAACGCTAGAACTACCAATGCGGTCAAAATGACCAATTTATAATTTTTTTAGAGTAATTTCGCGGATTTACAGTGTTACATTTTTTTTTAGAAATTCGAGTGGCTTTTGTAAAAATATATGAATGAAAGCTCGTATATATAAATCTTTTCCTATTCTAATTTCTTTGACTCAATTTTTGCACATTAGTCATTGGTATTTCCAGTGTCACGCGCAGTCTAGATCTTTATGGTTTTCAATGATACTTGGTTCAGTTGAACATTTGAAAAGTGGGAATAAGAACAGGACGTAGAATGTTTTATCTGTAAATCAGTTTATGATTGTTTGAAGCTTGTGGATCTGTCGAGTTTTATGTGGAGAATTTTGTAGACTTTTTCCAAGTATTTCGAGATTTAGAATTTGTTTCGGGACTAGCTACAATGGACAATTTCGCTGAGATTTTCAATTCTACTTTTTGCAGCAATCGTAGATTGTCAATTATTTTTTTCTTTTTTTTTTGTAGAAATTGTAAATTTCCACATTAAGCTTCAGTAAAAATTTTATAAATTTTTGACAACTTTGGTATTCGAAGTGTTTTTCAGTAAATTTAAATAAACAAAAATTGTCAGGACAAAGTATTCGCAAACTAGTTAACATATGGTTTTTCGTCTACCAAGTTTTATATAGATTGAACTTCTTTAACTTTATACCTTTATCACGTTTCACGTGAAGGGAATTTTTGGACATTTACGAGACCAAGTAACTTTAGAATTTTTGCTCAAATAATGCATAATAATCTTTTCTACCGATGATAATAAAAGTGAGATGTATTCAGCTCGAAAATGTTCTTTTCAAATTAAATTATACAATTGTCGTTCAAGTGTCTGAATATTTATATGACATTGCTATGTAAATTCTCCTGGTTTTTCCGGAGAATGTAATTTATACTTGATAAGTGGCGCGAGAAGTCAGACAGTAAAATAAAATTGGAATTCATAACTGTTTCATATACAATATTTTGATCTTCTGGCCTCTTTACCGTCTCCCCAAAATCCACAACGTTACAAAATTCGTAAAATTCTCCCATTTGCGAGCATAAAATTCCTCCTGAAATCTCCAAGTCCCTCACACTTGCAATGCCCGCACGGGAAATCCATTAAAACTAAACGAAATTAACTTTCTGTCCGCGTCTCACGCGCGATATTATTCCGAATCGACAGCCAGTCGATATCCGAGTGCAACTTCTCCTCTTTTTTTTTTTTTTTTTTTTTTTTTTTTTGTTCTTTTTGTTTTTCACTTGTTACTTGTCGACGCGCGTTAGGAAACGAGAGAAAACGAGTCGCGAAACGGGATGATGATAAAAAAAAAAAATAAAAAAAAAAGAAACAAAGAAAGAAAGACCAGCGAACGAAACAATCGAGCATATCGAGCGTGTTAAAGAGAATCGTTATGTTACGTAGCGTAAGCGCGGCTGATCATTCACGTTTCTGACGGGCGTGTCCCCTTTCTCTCTGCTTTTCCAGGTAAAATAAAATACTCGGAGAGGGTGTACGACGCGTGCATGGACGCGTTCGACTGTCTGCCGTTGGCGGCCCTCATGAACCAACAGTTCCTCTGCGTGCACGGTGGACTGTCGCCGGAAATTCACAATCTAGAAGACATACGCAAAGTGAGTAGAGAACGTTTTCATTGAGATATATCCGTGTCACTGGGGAACGTGTGATGTGTGATGTGTAAATATCTGCTCGTCATCGCTGATTTCGATATTTCCTTGCAAACTGTAATCCACTTGTCACTATCAGAAAATTTATCAATATTTTTTCAAAGAACGTTTGAACGTTCTTCAGTCAACAACGAAATTTCTGAACGTTGAGCTTCAACGTTTGATAAAACGACCGGGGAAAAAATTGCGAAGCAATTTTCAAAGAGGAGACTTTGATCTACAACGTCAGTGTTCGTTCATTTGTGAAAAAAAATTTTCCAACTTCCCTAGAGACGTTCTGGATTTGTTACAAGTTTTCAAGAATATACTTCAATTCACTTCGGAATGATAGTTATAAAACGTACAACTTTGGGAACACATTGGAGTAATTTTTTCGTTCCTGTTTCTCGTGAACAATTTCGGTTTCCCTGCTGCCTCTAGAAATTCTCTACTCTTAGCGATCGACGAACGAATTTTCGTGAACGATGAAATCGCCTGTCAGCCGAACGGTACGAGTGCTATTGGAGCCTGGCCGGTGTAGCGTGTCAGAGTACCGGAAATACAGCAGGGAACCGATGTGCTGCCACCTGCTCTATCGATCGTTCACCTAAGCAGTGTCCACCTTGACGCAGCGAGCACGCACCCCGCTCGCTGCACGCTTTACTTGCTCCTCGCGGAAAATTCCCTCTTTTCGCTGTACAGAGAATTCCCAAACTGATGAAACAGAGTCTGAAGTTTTAATAAATAAACTCATTTCTCCCTCTTTTTAGAATAATTTAGATCATCCGAATTAAATTGTTCAGTTTCGAGATTTAATCAGAGTAACTTTCGTATCGATACATTTTTTTTTTTTTTTTTTTAAGTATTTCGTTCTAGGACCTTCAGATTTGTAACAATTGAAAACAATTCCTTCGTTTGTAAATTTGAAAATGAACGTCGATGAATTTGGAAATTCGAATTTCTCCAGCCTTCAATGTATTTCTCTGAATTAACTGATATATATAAAGCATAGTATATATTCTTGGAATAAATACATTGAAACGAAATCACACAATTAACGAATTTTTGTCGTTTAACGATTGTTGAGGAAATTTGTTTTAACTACAAAAAAAAAGAAAAATTCGATCGCCGATGGTAACTTGCTTTGGTAGTCGTAATTTTAAAAAACTTAATAAAACAGAATCAAGTGGACAGTACTGACGTGACAAAATCAACCCGATAGGTTTTGAAAATTTCAAAATGATTTTGTTTGTGTAAGTATTATTATTCCCCGAATGTCTGTATCAGACTGTTAATTAACCTACTTTTAAAACATTACAAAACATTTCTTAATTAACCTACTGTTAGAACATTAAAAGACACTTCTATATTGCCACGCACGTCGAGAACTTTTTGCCCCAAATTGCAATTATATACTTTTCGCAATTATATACTTTTACAATTGCAATTATATACTTAAACATTTAACTCAGGGCAGAGCAAATAAATAAATTTCCAGCGATATCATACCGACGAGTTCAAGAAGAAAGCGACGAATTGTTAACTGTTTCGGTCACTCGTTACGGTCCGCAATCAGTTGCCAGCGCAAGCGGCGAGATATAATTATTTACACAGAAACGATTTTCTACTCAAGCCATCATCTTCCCGAAACATCTTAAAGAAAAAAACACGAGATTGTACTCGACGACCGATGGAATTCCACCGATTAAGAAAAAACCGATTACGCGAACGCGTTAATGCGTTCTATCTCCGATCTGCGTCACTTATAAATCGCCGAGCTAATTAATACCGACAACGCACGATATTTTGCGAGTCGGCCGCGAATGAATATTAACGCCGGACGCGCAACCATAACAAATTAATATTCCATTAACGCCGATGCTCCCTGACACGTTTAATCGTTCCGCGTCGGGGACAACATTACGTTTGCTCATGAGTGTAGCAAAACTCTAGGCAGAGGTATGACTCGCCGTGGAATTTGCCCAGGTTTATCGAGCAGAAACGTTTCCAAAAGAAAGAAAACCTGATTTTCTTTTTCTTTTTTTTTTTTTCTTCTTCCTTTCATCGATTTCATCGGCGAATGTTGTCTATTTGAAATGTTAAATGTTGATCGTTCGTCGGAGGTTTTTGATCTTGTCGATTGTAGTTTGACGGAGTTCGATCTTTTGGAATTTCTCGCGAAAGTATTTTCGAAATATTTGGAAATTTCGTTGACACTGTAACGAAAGACGAGTATTGTGATCACGTTAATACAATTTGACTTGTATTGATGTAACGTTTATATTTCGAGTTAATTTTATCATTTGATTATTTGAACTCGCGCTGACGCTACAACTGTGATAAATTGAATGTTACATTGATACGAAAACCTAATACGAAAATCACGCAGTATAGACATCGCCGTTAGCGCGCATACATCTGCAGTGTTAAATGATTCACCTCTTGCGCTGGAATGATGTGCGTCGAGAACTTTTTATCCCAAAATTGCAATATTTTTTCAATTTTAAGTACATGTAAGTATCACCCAGGCAAAACAGATAATAGATTTATTGCTTCTCAATAATTTCTGTCCAGTGATATCACATCGACGAGTTGAAAAAAGAATGCGACGAATTATTGTACATATACGGTTTGGTCACTCGTTACGGTCCGCAATCAATTGCCAGTGCAACGTGGTTAAGAAACATTTTCAAGAGAACTATTAACGACCTATGGTTCCTTGGAAAAGTTTTATTTTTACCCGATAAGTAGGATACAGTGCAAGAAAAGAAAGCTCTTGAAATTCAAGGTCAGGATCAATTGCGAAGCGATTTACACGTCTGTATTCCCATCAAATCGAAGGTGTAGAATTCGAGAACTTTTCTTTTTTTTTTTTTCCCAACCCTGTACGCGCGAATAATCGCGGAGAATTCGACAGAATTTTCGATTAGAGAAAGTGCCACGGTTATAAAAATTTTAAACATCGGCAGTGTCTTGTTGCGTCGTCGCGTTCCCGACGGATTTTCATTTTCCGCGACGCTCGTAAAGATACGGCGCGACGAGATTTCCACGGGAAACTCCGGTGAAATCCTGTTTGCTGCCTTGGCCGGCACGACTTCGAGCCCGAAGCTCGATTCAACTCGATCGGGCCGGGTTTTACTCTACCGATTGGATCCCGCTGAATCCGGCGAATCGAGTTTTCATTTTCTCGTCATCCAATTTGTGGCGTCGGGCCGCGGTCTTTCGAATTTTCCAGCTGGGAACCGAGAGACTTCCGTTTCTGTAATTTGCAATTTTCTTTCTACATTTTTTCTTGTTGATTTTGCAAGTGAAAGTTGAACAGAGGGATATTAATTTAATTTGTGGAGAAGAAGAAATTTTCCTTTCAACTCGTTCAAGAGTTAACGATTCATTTACATACTGATTTGTTTGATTTAACGCTAGATCGATGTAAAATAAAGCTAAATTTCCATTTTACATAGTCATTGAAATACAAAAAAATGAAATATTGTAACTTAATAATACTTAATATTATCTATATAAAACAATTTATAAACAATATCTTAATATTAATAATACTTGATATTATAATTTATAATATAACGGAGCGCACAAGCTTTTATTTGTATAATTTACGAAAAGTTATTTAAACCTTTAAAAATAAATATCTAGCGGAAATTATAAACTGAAGAATGGGATACTTTTTTATCTATATATCTGAAAGTAATTAATCTTCATACTTTTGTTGAGTGTTTCAGTTTTTTAATTTGTTCCAGCGTGTAATAATCGAAAAGGAAATATAATCAAAAACATTATTTTTGCATTTGGCAGAAAGAATAAGAAAGTTTAAAATTGTTCTTTGCTAGAATTAACAATTTTTATACTAGACATTAATAGTCGCGTCTTCCGGAATATACACACATATATTATATCTATTCGTTAAGGATAATTCTCTGTTTTGTGAAACCGTAGATTATCTCGCGTCATTTGGCTTTCACATTTCCTTTTTGTCCACCATTGTGCATTTAAATCCCGCTTCCGTTATTCAAGAATTAATAACCATTGTAATGTAACACGTAATATCCAACACGTACTGTAACGCATTCAAATTAAAAGAGAAAGTAGATTAAAAAAAAACAGATTAAGCTCTTTTAAATGACCATCTAAGAATCACATTGTCTCGCTAATGTCGAGGAATTCTCTCGGTTATTCGTTCGTGTTTAATATTGTAAGGAAAATAATTTTCAAGACAAATACCACGAGATTATATTTTAAAAATTCGCGAAGATTATTGCGTAGAATTTTCCTCGTTGACGCAGAAATTTTCTGAACAGATTGGAGAGCAATTAAAGTAAATTAGAAAATTAGAAAATTTTAAAATTTGAAATTAGAAAATTAGTAAATTAGAAAATTTAAAATTTGAAATTAGAAAATTTGTCCTATTGTCCCATATTTTTTTTTTAATAAAACTAGAAATGATTTCAGTGACAGAAAAATTACAAGTTTACGAGGATTTACGAGGATGAAACAAAGCAATAAGTTTATTTTTATTGTTCTGGTTCAGTTTTCGCGATGAACGGAGGTTGATTGATTCTTGATTCGATTTCTATGTACGGATTTACGTAATAGAATGTTAATGGAATTTAATGACACGAAGGGATTTCGTAGTACGCAAACACCTAATTGCTTGCTATTCAATCGCTGTTCCATTCACCGATCCATTCGCTACAACATGCTTAAGGACTGATTAACCTAATCGGAATGACTTTGGTAACTGCAGAGGATCTTCTTGTTCACTGTATATACCGTGTCAAACATGTTACAACATTATCAAAATTAGTCCTTGAAATTTCATGGAGAGACTCGATAAATCATGTATTTACCTTGTTTCGTTTAAAAATTATTTGCAAATGAACTGGTGACACTTCTTTTGTAACACACCTTGTATTTTTGTACATTTAAATTCTCACATGAACTGTGTCAAACAT